AAAAATGATAAAATGATATAATAAGTTGCCCAAAAATATACACATGAATTTCTATCACCCATGTCATTCTAAAGTACATTTCCATCACTCCAGAAAGCTCCCTTGTGTCCCTTTCCAGTCAATCAAAGCTCCTACCAAGAGGCAACCACTATTCTGATTTCCATCATACCTTAGTTTTGTCTGTTCTTGTATTTTTCATAAACAGTATCATACAGTATACACTCATCTGTGTCTGAACTAGTTTGTGTTCTCTTGCTATGAACAATATTTCTGACATTGCTCTATTTATTGTGTGAATCAGTAGTTCATTCCTATTGTGAAAAAGATGCTATGAACATTTTGTACATGTCCTTTTTTTAAATTACATTTGTTTTAGTTGTAAATGGACCTTTATTTATTTATATGTGGTGCTGAGATTCGAACCCAGGGCCTCACACGTGCTAGGCAACTGCTCTACATCAACAACTAAAAAAAAAAAGTTAAGAAAAAAGATTACAAGACTTTATTGTCTTGCTTTTTCAAAAAGTTAAACATGCAAATAATTTCACTAGTTAATATTTAACATGGGTAAAGAACATCCCACACGCATTCAGAATATATTCTGATAAAGATTTAATCTCTAGGATGTTTTCTCTATTCCAAATAGTAATTTACTTCAGCACTGTCTGTGATAGCAACATTCTGACTCTCAATTCTACTGTGTAATTTTCAGCTGACAAGAGAAATTTCTTTAATTCGCCAGAGATAAGAACAGTAATAAATATACACAAATCTGATTTTTTAGAGATCAATTTGAAATTTGCAACCCTGTTTTTGATAATCAGATGCCCATGTTCAGCGGCTCATTTAATATAATCTATCAATTGCCAAAATTCACTACTACAAACAATTCTAGAAATTTACCATTGCCTTAAAAAGGAATCTGAAACTACAAATGGGATAAAACAATCCTCTTCTAGTCTTTGATCTTTCTTCATCTTTTATTCCTCGTTCCAAAAAAAAAAAATGAGTAATTTAAAAAACATAAAATTCAAATGTACTACTCAGAATTTGGATGTTCCCTAGCTTTCACAGATGTGTGACTGTTTACTTAAAAATCCATTATTTCACTCTGAAAATACACCATTTTCATTTTTCTAATAACTGTACCTTTCTTTAAAAGAAAAATAGCCTTGATTAAGCTTTGATTTTTATAACAACTCCTATTGGCTTAATTCCCTAACTTTCAATATGGTTTGCCTGATTGTACTAGAGAACTAAAATAAAATTTTATGGTTGTTTTTAAAATGTTTTGCTTTCACACCAAGGATGAAAAACAAATACACCAAATGTGCAGACCCCACACTCCCTCTGGTGGTCCTTCACTCTCATTAACCAAATCCAAAAGACTATAAGGAAGTATGCACAAAATGCAAGTCAGTTCTCATAACAAATTGTAAGACATACAACTTATTTTGAGTACTGAAATTTTAGTCTTCTAAATGTTGCTAAACTACCTTTAGAGCCAGGCATGGTGGTCCACACCTATAATTTCAGCAACTCAGAAGGCTGAGGCAAGAGGATCACAAGTTTGAGACCAGCCTCAGCTACTTAGCCTGACCTTGTCTCAAAATAAAAAATAAAAAGAGCTGAGATGCAGCTCAGTGGTAAAAAGTACTTGGGTTCAATCTCCAGTATGGGAAAATAAAATAAAATAAATAGAATATAGTAATCTATTAGCTGCAATCTGTTGATAACCTGTTAAAATACATGGCCCTACAATCAATCATTTTTACCTGTCTCATTTGCAGAACTGCTTTTTACATAGTAAATAAACATCTTATTTGCAAATTAAATCACACTTAAGGGGCCATTTTAAATCAGTAGTTGTGATCTGCATATCATTGTTGACTCAGTCTTTGATGCCTGTGTATTTAATTTTCTTTACATATTTCAGGAAAATGTCAGAATTTTAAAATGCAGTAGGGCTGGGGGACATAGTGCACTGGTAGAACACTTTCCTAATTTGTGTGAGGCCTTGGGTTAGATACACCCTCCCCCCCAAAAAATAAAACTACAGTTATTTTTTAAATTAAAAAAATAAAAATGCACAAAAGTGCGGTTGGGTAGAGCATTTGCCTAGCATGCACAAGGCCCTGGGTTCAATTCTCAGAACCACAAACCACAAAGCAATCACTAAACCAAACTGTAGAAAAATCTGGAAATATCAAAACCAAAAATCTAATTACTAGTCAGCTAAATTGGAATGTTGAAATAGTTCCAGATTATAAAATGTAGATATTTAATTGTTCAGCATAAATTAATTAGACTTTTTTTTTTTTTTTTTTTTTTGCTGTACTGGGGATTAAACCCTGGGGGCGCTGTACCACAGAGTTCTATATTCTCCCTCCTTTTTATTTTTTGAAATAAGGTCTGGCTAAGATGCCTAGGATGGCCTCAAACTTGTGATGCTCTTGCCTCAGCTTTTCCAAGCTGGGATTACATGTATGCACCACCAGAAACTGCTAGAAGATATTCTTCTTCTTCTTCTTTTTTTTTTTTTTTTTTTTTGGTACCAGGGATTGAACCCAAGGGTACTTAAAGGTGCTTAACATCCCCAGCCGGTTTTTTTTTTTTTTTTTGAAATAGGGTCTCACTAGGTTACTTAAAGCCTCACTAAATTGCCAGAACTGGCTTCAAATTTGCAAATCTTCCTACCTCAGCCTCCAGAGCCACTGGGATTACTGGCATTCGCCATCACACCTGACTAGAGGATATTCCTAATGCTAGGTACAACAAGCATATTACTGTTATGTAAAGGAGTTTTAATATCTATAACAGTGTCATTTGATCTATTCTTGAATTTAAAGCCCTTATTTTTTTGTAGTTCAGTGGTAGTGTTTGACTACCATACATAATGGCCCAAGAGTCAATCCACAGGGAAAGAGAGAAAAAAAAAGAAAATTTACTACCACAACAGCCCCCCAAACTCAAAATGAGCCATATCTGAAGGTAGATGCTTTAAAATGGTGCCAGTTTTTTCTTTTATATATGTGATAATCAACTTATGCTTAATTTTAAAATTAAAATATGGTTGATAATTTTTAAACACTTATTTATTTATTTATACGTGGTGCTGAGAATCAAACCCAGTGCCTCAAAAGTGCTAGGCAAGCACTCTACCATTGTGGTCTACCACAAGTTAAAGTGAACAAAAATAAATAAAAATTTAATTCTAAACTGGGCTTTTAAGTGAAAGCACTTTTCTATCTAAAAACTTAAAATATGTTTTTTTGTAACTAAGATTATGAACTATAACTTTATAATGTGGCATACTCAAGCATCATCATCACAGGAAAAGGATTATGAACCCTCTCTTTACATACAATAATTTAAATTAATGTTAAATCATGGAATCAATTAAATCATCCCAAACAATGAAAGCCCCAGTCTTATAAGTTCCCTCCAGATACTTATGTAGAATTAACCCATTCAACATGAAGGAAAAAGTTATCGTTCAACCAAATTGCCCTCACCAATCATCCAAAAGCCAACTCAGCCTTTTGTGGCACTAACCTCTTCTATAGGTACTCCAAAAGGATGCTCATTCTTTGGACTAATTCATCCTAATCTGAGAAAACTTTGGGAAACTAAAAAATCCAAAATACGCATTCTTTTCCAATCTAAATATAAACAGAAAATTGAAGATTTAATTAGTCATCTAACCCAATAGTCTTAAGTTTTTCATGTTCAACTGATTAAAATTATGTTCTAAAAGAAATCCATCCCAAATTCCCATAACTAAAAAAATTAAAGACTAAAAAACAGGACTGGGGTTGTAATTTAGTGGTAGAACACTTACCTAGCACATGTGAGGCACTGGGTTTGATCCTCAGCACCACATAAAAATAAACATATTGTGTTCAACTACAACTAAAAAAAAAAATTAAAAAAAAAAGATTAAAAAACATTTGTTAATGTTGGAATGGCAAAGACCTCATAACATAAAAGTTTGTTGTTTTAGAGAAATAAAAATTTACAAAGACTGTCTTAAATTTTTTAAATCTCAAATAATGAGAACTATTAGCTAATTCTACATGGTAAAAAGGTAAAATTACCATTCAATTAAATCTGAATAAATTAGCATGGTTAAATATTAACTTTGTTCTTAGAGAAGTTAACTTCTCTGAAGTATAAATCATTTGCAATATGGTTACAAATAACACATTAGAAAAGAAAAATGGAGTAAAGCAAGTGTTTCTCACAAATGACAAGTTAACTATAAGCCTCCTTTTAAAAGTAATTTTCAAAATATACTATTTCTACAGAATCGCTCAATTAGGGCCATAATTGTAGATTGTTAGGCATAGGTCAGTTGGGAGAGAGACAAACAGAAAATGGTAAGTGAAAGCATGACAGAATAAGAACTTCCCACTAGAATAAGAATTTTTTTTCAAGTCAATTATTGAATTTTGATTCAGATACCATGAAAAGCTGCTACTATATTCTCTAAAAACCCTAATGCAGAAGGGGGGCAGAACTCCCACACACTATTAAAAAATCCTTAACCAAATTATGCCTTAACTTTTCCCTTTTCTACAACCTAAGAAAATGGAAAAACAATGAAAATAAACACACCCGTCTACTCTCAGGCAAAGAAAGCTCCCATTCAATGCTAAGCCTTATTCCACTGGAAACGTACTCCTAAAAAGTAAATCCAAAACCACGAGCTCAAAATGCTTCATGCAGAATTTACTGAATGGCGGCCAATCGCTGTACACGCTGTCCTGAGCCACACTGAAGGATATCTAGAGCTCTGCGTTCTCCTCTTACAACTTGTACCTTACAGTCCATTCGCCAACACTGCAGAACCCGATTTTTAAAATGCGACTAAAATGTTCCTCCTGGCCCATCAATAGGAAAAAAAAAGCAATCTACACCCTAATCGTCAAAAAAACATTGGCAGTACTGGTTTTTAGGCGATACACTATCGTCAGCACACCTTTTTAGACGATCGACAGGGCAGGAGTTACAACGTCCTTGGGCTGAAGTGAGTAAGCACCCTAACACAACTTTTAACTGGCTTTCTGCTAGCACTAGGCTAATGCAGATCACCTGTTAGAACGACTCACACGCACACCCTCAACAAGTGGCCGAGAGCGGCGACGCGGTTCCCTGTCACTTGTCCTAGGGCGGCAGGTGAAGGCGGTGAACGCCCATCCACACCCATCGGCCGGCCACGGCAGAGGCGGCAAACAGCCCCGGGACGCTCCGTTATCCTCACCCTCCCGGACCCGCCAGGTGAGCAGGGCTCCATCGCCCGCGGCGTCCGGCGCCGGGCTCAGCCGGGCTCGACTTCTCGGGCCGTCCGGGTCCCGGAAGGCGAAGTTTCACTCCCGCCCGCGGCGTGGCTGCTCAGGCGCCGCCCGG